GCTCTATCTTAGAAGCTGGAGGCATAACAATGAATAAGACGTGGATTCTGACCTCATAATTTCTAAATAAAAACGTTTTGGTAATTTTTAGCTTATGTTAATGCAACCTGGCATGTGAAAATACCTATGAAGGTTGGACACGTGTCATGCCTGTAGCTGAAACTCTTCAAGTTAATTGCCTCCTCAAGTTTTCCTGGCAGGAAATAGCTTATAACCACACATATGACTTGAGCCAGGAAATCAGCTTCAGCTTAATCAATATTTAGAGTATGATGTGTTGCTAATCGGTGTTGGTTTTGTACACAACAGAGGTAGCCCCAGCTCATGGAGTGGCAGCTACCCACTGGGCCTGCTCCAAGCCACGAGATGCCAGCTTCTTTCATCGCTTAGATGCCCAAAAGACTGAAGATCTTAACTCCTTGAGGGATTTAGACCATGCTCCGAAAACTACATACAGAAATTCTGAGATCCTCCTTGGGGCCACCACACCCCCGTCACATTATGAAAACATTACCCAATCCCTGCAGTTGATTTTTTCTTGTACCCTAGCTGTCACTCAAGCTTTTCCAACTTCTCAAATAATCATTCTCAGTCCATGGAATTATATTTCGTTGCCCAGCCTAGCTCCAACTTCTCATCCTGCTTAGATCTTTCTTCAAAGAAACAATATCGAGATGTCAACACCACCACCAGGGAACCTTAGCAAAATAACAAATCAAGCTCTATCAACTATACATGTATAAAATTATGCCTAATTGGGTTATTCATCTCATTTCTCTTATATGATAGTTCTTTAAAAAGGGATGTCTTCTGTCACTTTGTGTTCTTCAAAACTTTATCTGGAATAAAAGTTTGATAACTGAGAACAGTGGTAGGAAACGATGTCCATAGGGCAATCCAGACAGCTGCCTGCTTTTGTAAATAAACACAATTGTACTGGATGACAGTCATGGTTATTCGCTCGTGAGTTGTCTGTGGCTGGTTTCTTGATACCACAACAGAGATGAGTAGCTGCGATGGACCCTGAGTAGCCTACAAATCTAAAATATTTACCATGTGGTCCTTTTTCCCAGGAAAGTCTGCTGACCTCAAATCTAGAATAGCGCCATCCAGTAGAAAGACGATGTGAGCTACAAATGTAATTTCAAATTTTCTAGTAGCGACATAAAAAATGTAAACAGAAGAGTGGAATTAATTTTAGAAATATGTTTTATCTAACTCACTGTATCCTAATATCACTATGACATGTAATCAGCATGAAAATTATTGAGATTATTTTACATCCCTTTTTTATATTGTCTTTGAAGTCCAGTGTATATTTTACACTTAAAGCACACCTCAATTTGAACTGGCCACACAGAGTGCTTACTGTGACTTGTGGCTGCTGGATTGGTTAGCATACTTCTAGAACCCACAAACTTTGGATTTACTTTTACCATGTTTTGAAGCTGGTGAAAATAAAATAATCTTCATGTAAGTATATGGAGATCCTTTTTAAAATGATTTCAAGGGAAGGCCCCGGAGAAGGTATGTAGTCAGGTGTCCTATACCTTTTTCATTCTCATCTGTCACCAGTGATCTCTGCGATGACAAGGCTGAGATCCGGAAAGTTGTGGTTAGTCAAGCAAAACTGAAGCCATGCTCAGCACACTGCGCTTATCAATGCGGAAAAGTGGGCTGGTGCATTTTCAGCAACGAGATGGGAAATAATGAACATGATCATTATTAACTGCACTTTGCAATGAAATCTGGTGAAATCAAATAGCCTTTCCCCCAGCATTCTGTTTAAAAGAGGCTTTTGCCGGAGTTCCTAGCATCAGCAATAAAAATGTGCTTAAATAAAAAAAATCAAAGTGGAGAACTGGACTTACGTGAGTTTTTAAGGTATACCATACATGAATGAGGAAGAGGTTTTAAGTCATTCTTTGAAAAGAACACAATGTGATATTTAATATACCACAGCACACCCTGGACTCTGCTCTCTATTGTTTCATTAACTAAGCAAATGTTTCCTTTCCTGGAACCAAGTAAGGGGAGCGTCAGGGGCTTTTAGAATGAGACGTGCCAGCCACCCATTGGCCACTGTTGTGGTCCAGCTTCCATCAGCACCTGCTTCTCTGGCTTCGGCTGGACTCTGGTGTGGGCTTAACCAGCTTGATTCCCATTTCGAGAAGGGGGCCACATCTTGGCACACGTGGCCAAATGAATAAACTGCCACTTGTGGGCAAATGCTGCGTGTATCTCTATTCTTGCGAAAGCCTGAAACTCCGCCTGGAGTTCTCAGGTTGCTGTAAAGTGGCAGCTCTTTAGTCTTGCTGTCGTGCACTGTGGGGTGGAGAATGTGGCAGAGGGAGTGGAGAAAGGGAGCCGCGCTCCTGGGCTTGCCTCTGCTCAGCTGGGTGACATTAGAGTCAGTCTCCTCTTGGTTCATGTTTCCTTGTCCAAAACATGGGGTGAGCTGGCTCATCGCCAACGGCTCATTTGCTCTAAGATTCTCTACTTCTAATTGTAAGATCATTTCTATTTTTGTTTTCCCCCTGTAATTTGGAAATATAAACGAGGACATAAAATAATTACACCTCTCCCTATGGGGGTGGACAGTTTGGACTGTACCCTTCCTCTCTATCTATTTCTTCCCATGACTAATCAAAGGGAATGGCCAGCCCCTCTCCTAGTCTCTCTCTGTAATATGGAGAAGCTACATTTTTCATTTTCATTTTTTTAAGGCTGATGCTTCCCTTCCCGCCCCCATTTGTGGGAAATTTGTGCAGATCTCTTTCTTACCCTGTCTTCCAGTCACCTCTTCCTCCTCCATGTGAACAATCAATGATCCTCTGTGCGCTCAAGCAGTATATATATATATTTTCGTTAAAAACAAACAAACCAAAGAAAAAACTAAATGGTACTTCTGGGCCTGCTTAAAAAAAAAAAAAAAAAAAAAAGCTTTGAAGATCATCCCGTTATCAGTACGTGAAGATTTCCCTCGTTTCAATAGCTGTGTCGTACTCCATGGGCAGATGTATTAGAATTAATCTAACCAGCTGCCTCTTGACAGGAAGTTAGGTTTTCCATCTTTTGCTGTTATAAACAGTGCTGCAATGAGAAGCTGTACGTACAACGTTTTGTACAAATTTGAGTATATTTGTAGGATAAAATCCTAGAAGAGGAATTATTGGGCCAGAGAGTGGGTGCATTTATACTTTCGATAGATATTGCCTGATTGGGATCCATAGAGATCATTCCCACCAGCAGTAATAATAGAAAAAAAATACACCCCAGCCAGTGGGATGCCTTACTGAGCTTTTTGATCTCTGTGACTACTAGGTTAAAAATGGCATCTCTGTGTACTTTCAATTTGCATTTCTCTTTACTAAGAATGAGAATTTACTTATCAAAGAACTATGTCGTTTGCTCATTTTTCTTGATTGTCAGCTTTGTTTCTAATTGACTGTCAGTGCTTTAAAATGGAAACACTATCCCCCCTTACAGAAACCTTCGTTGATTCTTTGCTGTCAACGGAATAAAAGCTCACATTCCTTAGGCAGGGACTCAGTGTCCTCCAGAGCCTGGACACTGCCTTTCTTTTTTCAACTTTATCTCCCCATGTCCTTTGTGTATGCAATGCCCCCCCCCCACCCATCTATTCTCCAGCCAAACCGAGCTATGTGCTGGTCCCCCAAACCCCTGGCGTTTCCCTGCTTCCTTGCCTCTATTTAAGCTGTTCACACCACTCGCAGTGTTTGCCCTTTGCTTCTCTACCTGAAGAACTTCTCTTCATCCCTCAAAGCCCAGATGTAGTAGCATTCCATCCATGACGCCTGTCCGAGATGCCCCAGTCAGAATTACTCTCACCTGGAGCTGCGCTGCTTTAGGGCTGGTTTAGACTTTGGAACACTGGCCACATTCTGCCTCGTGTCGCTGCCCTTTGTAAACATGATTCCTGTCCTAGCCCCCTTGGCCCCTCCTACAGCCCTAAACCAGAAATGAAGAAAGGGGTCCTGGTTTCTTCCTTCTTTGGAGAAGACCACAGCGACCTTGTGTTTAACACTGTGATAAAAATATTCATAGCATAAAAATTTACCATTTTAACCACGTTGAAGTGTTCAATTCAGACACATTAAGTACATTCCCATTGTTGTGCAGCCATCACCACCGTCCATCTCCAGAACTCTTCGTCTTGCAAAACTGAAACTCTGTGCCTATCAAACAATAACTCCTTTTCCTCCTCTTCCTCCAGCTCCTGGAAGCCACCATTCTACTTCCTGTCTCTATGAATCTGACTCCTCTAGGGACCTCATACAAGTGGAATCACACAGTATTTATTCTTTTGTGACTGGCTTATTTAACTTAGCATAATGTCCTTAAAGTTCATCCAGTTATAGCATGTGTCAGAGTTTCCTTCCTTTGTAAGGCTGAATAATATTTCATTGTGTGTATGTACCATATTTTGTTTATCCATGCATCCGTTGATAGACTTTGGGTTGTTTCCACCTGTTAACTATTATGAATGATGCATGGGTATATGTCTAGAAACATATCTCTCTGAGTCTCCCTTTTAACTTTTTGGAGTATATACCCAGAAGTGGAATTGCTGGATCACGTGGTAATTCTGTGTTCAATGTTTTGAGGACTGTACTGTTTTCCACAACGGCTGCACCGTTTTATATTCCCACCAGCAATGCGCAGCGTTCCAGTTTCTCTACATCCTTTCCAACACTTGTTATTTTGTTTTTTTGTTTTTTTGTTTTTTATAGTGGTACTCATGGGTGTGAAGCGGTCCAAAGTAACCTTTTTGCGACTGTGTTTTGGATGCCTGAACACAATACCGAAAGTCTGATTTAGAAGAGCTCTCTTCTAAATCACCCATAAATCAGTGCCTCGTGCTCCAAACAGTGCCTTGATTTTATGACCAGACTTCCCAGATTTCTCCTGAAAGGAATGTCCGCACTGAGAGGCCTCGGCCATTTAGAGAATTAGATCAATAAATGGGGAGCTAAAATCTTTCTTGGCCTGTGTAGCACCATCCGTGGTGAAGGAACCAGACAACCAAGTCTGCGGTCCAAGCTTGCCTGTGTGCGATTTGGAGCAGTGGAAACCTCCTGCTGGCGCATCCATCATGCGTACTTGTCCTGGCTCAGAATTTACAAGAGAAAAAGAGGCCAGGTTGGTGTCCGTGTCATGTCCTCTCTCCAGTGTACTTTGAGCTCTTCTGTCACCCTTTGATTTGGCTGCATCTCTCCAGCATTTGAAGTCAGGACAATGGTTTGGAAATGCCTGAAGCTGGATTGTCTCTTTTCGCTCTAAGGCAGATTCGCTGTGACTGGATGTGTTATGAACGAGCTCCTCCATTTGGAAACCAGCTCTGGAATGACTGCCACGTAGTTTGAAAGTCACATTTTGATCAGCAGATGCTACTGAGTCTGGGGAGAGAGTTTCCTGTGGCCTAATCTTCATTCGTGTTTGTGTGTGTTGGGTTTTCTCCAATTGTTCCGTAGTGGTTTTGACATCTTTTATCTTCCATGTTTGTTGCTTTCTGTAGATGGATATTTTCTATCCCAGGAAAATCACGAGTCACCTATCTGTCAATATGATCATTTTTAAACTTTCTGTATTTCTTTTTTTCCCCTTTTCAGAATTTCGTGCCATCTTTGGGCCGGCAGACTTCCTTAACGACATTGGTGATACCCGAAGCTAAGCAGAGCGTGGCTTACAAAGACTTTATTTATTTCACCGTCTCCGAAGGAAATGTTCGCAACATTTCTGAAGTCGTGGTGGAGTATTTATGCTCTCAGCCTTGTGTAGTGAATTTGGAAGCCGTTGTTTCATCTGAGTTCAGAAGTAGCGTTCCAGTATACAAAAAAAGGTGGAAGAATGAGAAACATCTCCACACCAGCAGGACGCATCTAGTACATGTGAAATTTCCAAGCATCATGGTTTACAGAGATGATTATTTCATCAGACACTCCATTTCCGTGTCCATGGTCATACTCCATGCCTGGATTACTCACAAATATAGTGGTGGAGACATGAATGTTAAATGGGAGGAAAACTCGCTACACGCCGTAGCAAAGAATTTTACTCTGCTGAAGCCAGTCCCGCCTTTTGAACGCCCTTTCAAAGACCATCAAGTGTGCCTTGAGTGGAACATGGATTATATTTGGAACCTTCGGGCAAACAAGATTCCCCAGTGTCCTTTTGAAAACGGTAGGTCGTTTGCCTTGCTAGGGACCTAGTTCTCATTTTTTCAGAGAGCCCGCGTCATAAGGGAATGGCAAGAGAAAATGCTTATATTCGCGGTGGGGAAGACAAGGAAAATGGAGCCTGTGATTTTGGACTTTGGGGATGAAAAGGGATATAAAAAGCTGAAGAGGGGAGACAGAGTAGGAGAGAATAGGACTTAAGATGTAAGTGAGAGGGGTAAAGGGGCCATGGCTTCAGGAGGACCTCGAGAGGTTTGAGTCTGCTCTAAGTTGGAAAGGAGCATTCATGCCACTGAAACAAGGATTGGCAAAATCTTCCTCCTATCTTTCCTCAAAAATCCCTCCAATGTCAGTTCATTTCAGTGAAGCAATGACTTTTCAGCCAAGCAGACCCGGGCTCCATCTTGGCTCTGCCACTTTCTTTCTGCCTGTGTAACTTTGGAACTTGCACGGCCTCAGTTTTCTTATCTGTAAAATGGGGATAAAGAATAACAGTTTCCTCAGAGCGGTGTCGTGAGAATTAAATGAGATGTAATTTGCTTAGCACATAATCGGCACTGAGTAAAAAGTAGCCCTGAGGATGGAGTCCGAACTCTGCATTTTATCCTAAATACCGCATGGTCACAGCCACCGAAGGATCCGTACGGGAGGCTCCCAGGCCCTTTTCAGCCTCTCTTAAGCACCGGGCTTGGAGCTCTCTGGCTGCGCACACTTAGGAAAAGGGGTCGGATGTTCTCTCCAGAGGTGCGAGGGGCACCTAGCTATGTGGATGCCAAGCACCTGCCCCTCTTCTCCCTACCCAGCCATGGAGAGCCAACCTGGATGCCACCCAGATCTAGTAGCATTTCCCAAAGTGTGGCCCTAGGGACAGACTGCAACAGAATCACCCAGGACTCTTGTTGCAAATGCAAATTCCCAGGCCCCATTCATTTATCTACTCAGTCAGGATCTGTGGGGCAGGGCCCTGGAATCAGCATTTACACATTCCCACGACTCTGACGCAGCCTTGAGAACATCTAGACCAGGGGTAGAGCTGGTGGGACTTTGATCTAGAGTTACTGTGGCCAAGCCCCCAGGCACGAGCCTGTGACAGCATGCCCTTCCCTGGGACACTTCTGACACCTATCTTCAAGAGGACTGGTTTGGGGCCAGGTGACGTAAGGACACAGCAAAAACAATTGCAGTGGGTGTTTCCTGGGACCACCCCAAAACAGCCTCGCATACAAGGAAAACTTAAAGGCCTGTGAAACTATATAGTATAGCTAGCTGGTCAGAGGCCACTTGCCATAGAACCAACACATTTGGCGTTAAAAACATATCTTTATTTCGAAACGATTATAGATTTACAGGAAGTTGCAAAAATGGTAGCAAGTCCAGTGTATCTTTTCCCCAACTTCCCCTAATGTCCACCTCTTCCCTAATAATAGTACAGAATCAAAACCAGGAAACTGATGTAGATCTAATACTATTAGCCATGCCACAGACTTTATTTGGATTCCACCAGTTTTTATGTACACTTGTGTGTGTGTGTGTGTGTAGTTCTATACAATTTTATTCTACACTTTGTTTTAATAGCCTTATTCTGTGCGGGGCTCATTTCACGTGTGTGCGGTACTTTAATTAAGAGGTATGTATGAAAAAGAAGGCACATTCCTTTTGTGTGTGTCTGTGTGTGTGCATCGAGGATAGAGTGGGTGGTAATTAAATGTCTGAGATCGAGCTGCGTGCATTTTGATGATCAGCGTGCATCCCTCTTCCAGGCAGAACCCCATGCTAGCCTCCGTTTGCGATGCCTTCCACAGGGGGACCTAATTTGCTGAGGAGAAGGAAGCATGGGGCACGCACGACCACAGTTTTGCTTTGCTTTCGATTTCGTCAGGGCTTAATGATTCCATCTTACGTTTGGCAAATCACATATTTCTCGTTGAAGAATGACTGAATTGCACGCCGGAAGTCTTCAAATGAAGTCACTTACGGACTGGCTGAGTTCTCAGGGCACCCGCATGTACCCTTAAAATGTGAAGCGTCTTTTCTTTCTTGTGTTGTTTTTTCCCCAGATTCACAGGGCTCGGGTTTTTCTCCTCACCTTCTTCAGATTATTACTTTTGGGGTAAAAAGCCAATCTAACACGAGCAGAACGCAGAGGACAACCTTTTCTAAGAGTCAAAGGCACTGAAAAGAGGGGGAGCTCCGTGCACCCTCAAACTAGCTCTGCTTGCACGGCTATGATTGGTTCACCGTAAAAGGGGAGCATTTCCTCTCCGTCTCTTTAAAAGAGGAATCAAAGAGCGTCTGCGGCAGCCCCGTGGAAGGTGTCCGCAACCTTTGTTCTTGCCATGGCTGTGTGGTGGAAGGTAGCCAGGCCTCCGGCTTGTTCTTAGCAGGGACTTCTTTCTTCGGCTCTTGATGAACAAGAGTCAAGTCAGAACAACAAGATGGCATTAGGGAGCCGCAGGGGTGCCTTTCATGTCTGGTCATAGCCTACACAGCCGGTGCCGGTGCGGGCCGTGCGGGGGACGTTTTCTGTGTCAAGTGCCTGGTGTCCTGTGAGGGCTCTGTCTCTGAACTGAAGTACCGCCTGACTTGCTTTCATTTTCCTTTTCCTTTGTAAAAAGAGAGCGAGCCAAAGTCCCCGTGCACAGACAGACATTCCATGAGGACGGCTGGAGTCCCGTGCACCAAAGGCCGAGCTTAGGCTCCCGAGGTGAGGGCCGCATGTGCCCACACGTGCGCCTCTGCGACTTGTCTCCTCCTCCAGCACCCGTGCCAGGCCAGGCTGGCCGTCTGATTTTCAGTCGAGATGCAGCAGACTTTTGTCCCGGCCTGCTGAGTAAAGCTACCCGGGGTCAGAAACGGGCAGCCTCTCAGGACACTCGTGTACCCAGGCTCGTCCACGTGCCTTCACTATACCTGTTCCTGCTGCCATAGGGGGCCAGGGACACCACCCCTGTGGCTCCACTTACTATTGTCTGTTTTCTTGGGGAGGGGACCAGGCCTTAGCTGTTGTCGCTCACCAGTCACACGTGTGTCTGACTCATGTGTGAACTCATGAGATAAAGAAATCAACCGTCTGGGCCAGGAACTCTAGGCCCACTGGACTTCTCTTCCTGTCATGTCCTGTTGTGACAGGTCGGCTGGTCCTGCTGCCCCGATCTTCAGATGATATCACATATTCAGTTGCTTCTCAACATGTGTGTTGCTGTCATCCCAGTCTCAGCCACATCGATGGATCCCTGTCTGGACTCTGGCCACAGCTTGCAGATGGCCGCCCAGCTTTGCCCTCATTCCTGACACAGCAACCAGTGCAAGCGGGCCGCATCAGCTCCTGCAAGTGGTTCCTCCCACTGCAGTTACGAAAGGTCAACCCACGTCCCTTACCGTGGCCTGTGGAATCTGTCCCTGTCCCCTTCCCGGCCTCTTCTCCTGCCATGCTCCCCTTGCTCATCCGTTCCAGCCACATAGGCCTGCTTGCTTCTTTCCCCTTGAACATACCAAATTCATTCCCACTTTGGCACATTTGCATACTGCTCCCTCCACCCCAGGTCACCTACCTGGCTTGCTCCCTTACCTCATTCATAACCTCTGTACAAATGTCATTTTATCTGAGACGATTTCCCCGACCAGCTTATTTAAGACAGCAGCCTCACCCCTGCGTCACCTTTATTTTCCTTCATAGCCTCGTAGCCACCAGACGTGGTCTTTAAATATGCTTAATTGCCATTTTGCCTGTTGAGAGTCTTCCTATTAGAATGCAGGTTCCATAAGGCCTGAGTCCTGGCTTGTTTTGTTCTGGTGCCTGGCGCAGTGCCTGCATGTGGCAGGTGTGCAGTGATTTGTCGATCGAGTGATGAGATTGAATGATGAATGCTCTTAGCCAAGGGGCAAGGACCTTTTTCTCTTATGTGTATGCGCGACCATCAGACAGTGGCAGCATCCTCACACTGCTTCATTGCCACATTAGGGAGCATGTGGGGGTACGGGTGTGCCTTCCTTGGGGCTCGCACAACATACACTCCTGCTTCCCAGGTAGACCCCATTTGGGCTCTGGTGCTTAAGGCTGCAGCCTCCCTGTCAACGATCCTCCTTTGCAACCACGTGTGAGCTCATCTTCGCCCTGTGCACCTGCCCTCCTAGTTTGCATTCGATTAGTTTGATTCCTTACCCTTATGCCTTGGCTAAAGCAGTTCCTTTTACCTGGGATACCTGCTTTCCCTGACCCCACCCCCACCACTCCCCACCACCACTTTCCCCCACACTACATCTTCCTGGCAAAATTACACCCATATTTCAGTAGCCAGCTCAAATTTCCACCCTCCTCACACTCAATCCCCAAAGCTTTTTGCTTTATCTTTTTTTTTCTTTTTGATCCCCACAATTAGAAATGAACTCTATTCTTCGGCCTTCCTTAGCCCTCTGTTGTTACCCACCACCCTATATGATGTGGGTCATGTTCAATGCAATTAAAGATCGATTGTGCACCTATTATGGTACCAATTTATTTTCTAAGTCTGGAGGCTTGAAGATGCAGACAGGATCCCTTCCTCTCTTTAGGTGCTTATGTGGAAGGTAAACACAGGTACCAATAGGAACAGCTACTTTCCGTTACCGATCATTCACTATGTGCCAGGCACTGTGTTATGTGCTTTAGGTGAGTATCTGATTTAGATCTGCCCAGTGCTCTAATGCCATATTTACAGAGGAGGAAACTGACTCAGAGAGGTAGAGTGACTTGTCTCAGGTCACACAGCTATTCACAATGGAACTGGGATTTGAATCCAGGTAGTCTGGTTCCCAAATGCCACACTCAGTCATTCGTCTGCACTGCTGGGTGGTGTCGTGGAACTAGTTATTTGAGTCAGTCATTCACTGAAAAATCTTTTGATTGGTCTTCGTGTGATAGGTGTGTTGTGAGGCTTCTTCACGGAGGAGATGACATTTGAACAGAGACTTGAAGGATGAGTTTTCAAAGTCAGAAAGGAATGGAAGGAAGGGCATCCAGGTAGA